GGTGAAGTCATGCGGCCAGATACCGTTTAATGGACTTCGTATCACACAAATCTGCGATTTTGTAGGCTAACTGCGCAGTTACGATGTTATTCAACGCTCTCGACGACAAAAGCTTTCAGAAATAAAGACTTGAACTCATTTTTTTCCTCAACGAGAAAGGCGAGGAGTTATTGCGACAAACACGCTATTGCTAAACTGCTTCTGTCCAAATGGAGACCTCCCATTTTGAGAAGGTGATCCTTCAGTGAACCTTGCCTCCCTGTTTTTAAGAGCTATTCACGTGCATGGCGTATATTAATATGCATAATCAGGGCTTGTCAGCATTTTTCGTTCTAATCTTCTGACTAAAACCGAAGAACAGGAAGATAACCGCTCACAAAGGGCAGCCGTCATTCAAATGAGTTCGCCTGCTATTGCAAACATTTTGCCACAACTGGTATTTCATTGTATTTGTAGAGTACTTATGCATATACTGTGCAATGCACATGGATGTAATGTAGCTCAACGGTGAATAATCTAACGGCTAAATTCGGTTCATTCAAACAATGCCAAAGCGGATTAGCCTTGGCTGGAAAGTTCAGTCGTACAGCGAGGATTATGCAAATCACCCGGCTAACCGAACTTCCTCGTTTTCGACGAACGCTAGCCAATGCTACTGCTGCTACTGTTGTTTTCGTTGACGGCATTCCCGTAGATGACATCAGCATTCAACGAGCTGAAACTGGGAGCTGACGATGACCTGGTCACCAATATTGGCTCAGGAGACCGGGATACGATTGGAGTACAACGGGTTATTCAGGGTGTTGCAGTTTAGCGCCAGAACTTTGCTGACATACGCTTTTGTCTTTTCCCCGGTTAGCCGACTAGGCCGGCCAGTCAATCTCACTATCGAAGCGTTCAACAGTGAAGGATCACCTACGACTAGGCAGTAAGATTATAAAAATAAACCCCACAATGACGAGATGGTTAACCTCCCATTTGTCACCCAGTTGGAACAATCCTCCCGCGAAGGAGGAGTAATTGCAGTTGTTTTAAGTGCAGGGCAATGCAAGTCAGTGCGCAGTCGCGAAAATGGACGAGTTTTACTCTCTCAGCAGAATGTTGAGTGAATAAATAAAAGAAATTCTCAAGATTTTCACAGAAATGGATATTGTTGTGGGAAGTTTGGCTCAAGTAGGATAACAGAAACGGCGATATCGACCTGGACAACTCAGATACCGAACTTGGTTTGAATGGAAGTCGGCTGTGAATACAGGTCGTATGCTTGGCGTATCCTAGATCGGATGTAAAGGGAAGCTTATCCTCTGTCGTACAGGTAGGCCGATATCTGAGGTAAATAACGAAATCTTCAATCTCAGTTTCATTCCTATACACCGATAAACGACCAACTCTTGGCATTGTTTCAAAAAGGTAATTACGTTCTACTATATACGGTACAAAATTGATTAAACGATCAAGCACTATTTATTTTTTATAGAAATAAGCTGTCATCCGTCACTCACAGTTTACACAAACGATCCTATTAATGGCGAAATATATGAAGCCCTTCTAGAAAATGCCATTTTATTGCCAATATTCTTCGATAATTTCTATTACACTCATAAATTTACGATTTATTTATGCCAGCACGATTTTACGAGAAGCTATAAGAATAAAATTAAATTTTATTCTATTTTACGCCAACACGTTCGCACAATAACAATATTAATGAGCCGTAAAATGTGGCTTGATGCTGAAAACAGTTTTCATATTACGTTTTTCCCGAATGGGAACAAAATTAGCTTTTTGGAAATTCAAATTCCTATAAAGAAAGGTTTTGAATGAATTGGTTGCAATAAAGTTTGCGGCGAAATGAAAAAGCTGTAAGCTCCTTTTAAACGTTCAAGGTACTCAGGCCGGTACTCTTCCAGTTGCTAGAGCCCGTCCGCCATCAGATCCTCACCCTATCGAGGTTTGACCAGTTTTTCGTCTGTTTGACATTCAGGGTGGCTCGAAAGCCTTTAGTTACTGGTCACGTATTTTTTGACATCGAACCTATGCAACTGCGATATTTTCCTAAGCCTCACCTAATTTGGAGATTAGGGTATAACCTTGAACCCGAAAAAAAATCGACCAAGCGAACCGAGAAAAACCCACAGAAAGCCACCAGGCTTTGTATGGGGACGAAGGTGCACCCTACCCTCAACAGCGTCGGCAAACCGGATAACTCCAAAAATCGCGTGATAGCGGGGAATGTCGTAGGCAAAGCGAAATAGTTCTGTTATCATGGGTGAAGGCCACGGCTAAAATAATGAATTCGCCTAAGCTTATATAGCCTCTCATCTTGTCGAGGTCGGTCATAATGGGAGCCTCCCCCCCCTCCCCCCCTCACCTCCCCACAGTCTATCCGTCCATTTTCATAAATCGTAACAAAAGCCGGACGTCCATTAAATTTTGCCCCACAAATTTGCACGGAAGTGAAAAGCATGGCGCATTTGAGAAATTTTTTTAGCGGGCCTAAATTTTGTTCCTTGTGCTGATTTTTGTTTATCGCTCAGTCACACCAAATACCGTACTGTATCACTCAGGCTGTTAATCTTCACATCTTTCCCGATCTCTTTTGAAATACTTACGAGCGTTTGGCTTGTGAGCAGTGCCCCGTTAGTTTTGCGTTACGGTTTCCGCTACTTTATATCCCAGAATATTAGATTCCTTTCTGAATGATTCGAAAATCAGGGACCCCTCGAAGGGACCGACACTTAACGTTTTTCGGTTTCCGCTTTCCGATGTAATCCTTGTTCGTCGGGAGAAACTCCGAGTACATTTGCTCTGAGTCCTGAGGGAATCCCGACAGATTCTCATGTTTTTTTCCAGTTTAATTTCTTCCATGAGATTGTTATCAAAAATTCCCTGAAGCAATTATTTGCGCAACGGAAATTCGCTTTGATTCCCTGGATATTTTTAGGATCTGTGATTTAATCGGCCAACTTCCGTCTTCAGAAGTCGGAAGTTGATTTTGCGTATGGTTGACTCACCACTTATTAGAATGATCGTTTCATCGCAATCTACTAACAAGATTTATTAGTTTAATTTCTTTTCTCTCAAAGCAATTTGTTAATTCGATGTAAATTAATTGAGTGTGGTTGTTTTTTTCCCACAAAGGTCCGGCGTTTGGAAAAAATCAGATTAAACTAGTGCATTAAGCCTATTAGGCGCTGAACACGACCCCGTGCCATGTGGTCCTTACTCGAATCGTATGAAAGGGTTCCGCCGACTGATTAGATATACCTAACAAAAAGCATTACTGCATAGATTACGCAGCGGTTTGTAAGTCATCAGGCCGTTAGTATTATCGAATTACTCGATGAATGCCCACGAATAATGGCATTAGGGGCAAAGAAGAAATGAATTGAACTGAAAAATCTTTCTACAAATGAATCAGGGCTAAAAATTAGGTTAAACTGAAATGAGAGGAGTTAATAAGCACTTTTCAGTCCCAATTGGACAATTGTCTTTGAGTTATTAATATAGGATGCCTAGGCGGACATGTTAGGGTATAAGAGCATTGTTTCCTAGTCTTCTGACATATGTACTGGTAGGATGCTCTATCCAATCTCTAGGGCGAACGAAATCTCTGAACTTTAAAAGTGACACCCTAGCTATAAAAACAACCAAAACAAATTTTGTTCTTCTCACAACCCTCCAAGAAAGTGATGGAATTCCACGACCCACTTTGAGGTGCTGTGCACGTTACAGGTCCGCTCAAGCGATATCCGATTGCTTCACAGTTCCTTCTGATATAGTTCATGGGACCCAGGGGAATCAGTTAGCATGATGTGCCCTCTAAGAACAAAACCAATACTAGCTTACCTACTCGGCACAGAAGAAAGCTTAAAGAGTCCGAACAGGTCCCGGCAGAGGTCGATCCCTGGTCCAATGACGCAACATACTTCCCTACCCAAGGACAATCTTAACAGATATCTAGGACCTCCAAAACGACTTTTTTGCTTAAATTCTATATTTTAGAAAGTATTCAACAAGTTCTTGTCCTCAAAGGAATTGGTTGATCTATATTCTAGGGTTCTCCTCAGCCTAGAACTGCTTTGATTTCAGGCCATACAATTTGAGGATTCTTGGTGATAGAAAGGGTAGGCCAGTTGTCTACGATGCACGTGCATTGAAGACATTGCATTATCTCTGGTGATTATGAAATGCTCGTTGTTATTAAATCCTGAATGTAAATGTTATTGGCGTTTTTTAGATCCACTTAAGCATTATTCAGCTGAATAGATGGCACGGAAAAAAGTTTTCTGAAGGGGGATAGGGAAGAAATGGAGTCGAAAGGGCTCACATAGATACGACGTCTAATGAGATGCTAACTCATCCCTTATTCAAGCCATTTTATTCATCGTATTCTGTATGAACAGCTTTCTGCCGCCATTATGAACATGATTGTGCGGTCCAATGCCTTCATAAGAGACAGAACAGTTGATTCAACAGCTGTTTTGAACACCCCCATTAAAGAACTGGGATCGATCGACGTCTAGCTTGTTCCTCCTCCCAGTGGTGGGTTCATCCCTAACATCGAACCAGAGCCCTATGGGAACTGCCCAAGGTTCCGACAAAATCTACCTCCTCAACCTAACACATGGGATCTTCAACGTCAGTCGCTACCAGGAACCCCAGCGCATACGTATGTCCGTAACTCTGAGCTGTGGGAATGGGGAATCCAGAAGGCTACGATTATTACTGGACAGTCTGATCCTGTTTTCTTACTCATGCATAGATGAGTGTACCAAAATCCCTCAGATTTGCAGTATTTGGAAATAGTGACGAGATGTTTGTTTATGAAATTAAAAACCATACTTAAAGCAGCTTATAGGTCGGGAATCAGTGGGGCTTAATGTTAATGCCGGACTGGATTAGCATTTTCACAAATGTTGTTATTCAGGCAAATGCCATTTTTAGAGAACTTTGCTCTGCATTTGGGTTACGGTTCGGTTTCCGCTGTTTTTGTCCTGGACACTCCAGAATTCTTCAAAAAAATCGAGGAACTGAAGGACTTGGGTTCTCCGGAATTTTGGTCATCCGATTTGAAACCAGGTTACCGATTGTTCTTGCCCCGTCAAGGTCGTCACCTCGGTGTCTTCGCTTTTCATGGCTCCTTATCTCTGGTCAGGCCAACTGTGGCTACCCAGGTGCTACCAGTGCTCATGCCATGGGGTGCATTCATTTAAGGAGAAGGGATACTTCTGAAACCAATTGACCTTCCAGAGGTAAAGGCCACAGTCTGAAACGTATCCAATCTCCACGTTGTCTTCCCATTTCCTTCTTCGTCATCTATCTTCATTCACTTCCTTGCGTTCTCCAGAAGAGTGAGATGAGTTTTCAGGACTGAAGTTGAGAGCGATGGAGAAAGAACCATCGCTAAGCTTTGTCAGAAATGACCAAATACGTCTTGGGCTGATAACGGAACGAAATAGGACTTTGAATGGCTTGTTTTTCTTGAGAAATTGCCACCATTATAGGGTCATCAAGCTTAAACCATGGCTAAATCTGAATCTGCATAAAACGCACGCACATTCAATGGTCTGAGAAATCGTATAGATTGCAACGATCGGTCGTAGCTGTGGGAAAAGCCTATTGAATGTGATCCATTAGAATTCTATTTGAATGATGTGTTATCAAAATAGCCGTAACCGGCTATTCTGCTAGCCTTATAGGCCAGTCAACCATCACAGCTCCTCGTTATCGTTATGGACGTTACTCAATTAGCCTGTGTTGTTATTCTCGACCATCCTCCAACCGGAGATGAGATGAATACCGTTGTTGATTAGCCCTGTAGTGGTGACGATAATGTAGCTGCAGCTGGCAGTGACGACTACGTTCGGTTTCCTTTCCATATTAGTACAGGTGGTGATTGCAAATATAGATAATAGCTGTAGGCTGAGTACTTTTGTAAAATATTTACTCAGATGCCTGACGAGGCTTATTATGGCCAAGCATCTTCCAATTGTTCACCTGGTTTCGGCAAAAGCTGCTCGGTATTCTGCAGCCAGGCGCCATCGTTGTTTCCCCCTTCGATAGCGCCTCTCCTTTCCAGGAGGCGGGGTCTGGTTATTCAGAAGTCGAGAGGCGGTCCCGAACGTGCTGCCGTTGCTGCTGCTCGACGCTCCCGGCAGCTCCCGTTCCCGTGCTCTTTTCCCTATTCAATCCGCCTTCACATACTCATCAAGTACAATGGTTTTTGTTGCGATTTTTTTCTTTCAAAACACTTTTTTCTTCTGCACTTCAGACCTTGTTCGAGGGAAACGTTCTGGGAAAAAACTGAACTTGCACTTCTAATTTTCGAGCTCTTGGAAGTTTCACAAAGGACCACAGATCTCGGCTGTCTTCAAACTTTCCTCCACAGTTGATTTCACAGTGCTCCTACCTTTACTACATGATTCCTACTTCTTGTTTCACATTAGGAACATTGACAGAGGTTTTTGAATGTTTCGGAAAATGTTGGGGAAAAATTTTTGTGGTTATTAGAGGTTTTTCAATAAGTTTTGTGGGAAATCAGCTCTGGAATGCAAATGCTTTGCGGAAATTCTCCAGGGTCTCCCAGCCGCTGATATGTAGCATTCAATGGATCGATTATCGCCCTCAAAGACATTGACAGAGCTGAATCCATCCCAATCTACCAGCCCTTCAACTCACACTTGTAAATGGACTGTTCATCTTGAAGGCATCCCGCAAGGGTGACCGTTCGGAGGGAGTTTATTAGATGAGTCAGGAAATCCCCCGAACCAAGATGGGTTTTTGTTTGAGCATTGACATTCCTCCATTCCACCGTTCATCCTGGGTTATGGGTTTGATAACAACGATAAAAAAGAAAGATATAAAAGCCAATAGAACCAATATTATTTGCTCATCGTTAGTGTTTTCCTGTAGACAACCCCAAGCCGTCCCTCGATGTGCACAGAACATACCGCCCTCCTTGGAAACGTTATCGCTGGGAATGGGATATGTCTTGGGAAAATAGGAATACTTCCTAGAAA